TTTTAGTAGAAGAGATTTACTGTTGAAACAAAGGACTCTCGAGCAGTTTTATACTCGAAAAAATCTCAGAAAAACCCAAATAAAATTAGGCCGATTTTGCAATTTTTTGAAAAAAAAAACTGTCTAGTTAGCAGGGACTAAGCTCCCGCCTATTTTGCGTCGCAGAAAAGTCGCGGGTATTTGAAGAATGTGTTGCCAAAAAATCAGTCAAAAATATCGAGTTCGAGATGAGTTATGACAAAAAAGGTTCAAGGTGATTTCTTTTTGACCAGTACTGTATATTTCGCACTACGGGTGCTGAAGCTGCTGAGAGGAATCAGATCGTCTCTCGTAGCCATTTTCGCTCTTTCATGATGGTTTGAGTTAAAATCTCTACCATCAGAACGATATCGCAAATTTTGGTCGAGAAAAGTACAAAATTCAAACCTCTTCAACCTCTCTTCCGAACCTCTTTAAGAAGGGTTTCTCTGAAAGGATGCAGCTGAGGGTCGAAGATTTTTCTAGAAAACGATTTGGAAACCACGACGCACTAGCTCACGAATGGGAAAAGATCAAGACTGGTGCCGAGAAAATGCTAGCGCTCTATCCCAGCTCCCAATCTTCCAACGACTTCGCGGACAACAATGTGATGAGTCAGTCCATACTGGAGAGGAAAGCCTGCGCTTCACAACGCACTGTTGTTGCTCCTAAGAATCACTGAAAAGAGCCCGGGCTGAGTTTCTCAAGAAACTATGCGTGCCACAGTCGATGAGTAGCCGAAGTGTCTTCGAGCTATAAATAGTACAGGAGAATTATGTAAGATGACATCGTGTTCGTTTTGTAGGTGCCATGCATAGTAAATAACTCACATAGTCCCCATGCATAAATATGGACTGCGGTTTCTGTAGCTCAATTCTTTTGTTACCATATTTATGGCCAGTCCTGTAATTTCCAATGCGCGAGTGAGAGCGTTCGAGCTGACGTGGGTAAGTCTAGTCGAAAGTCCACCTTTATAAGGAACCCTGATTCGTGCTTGTTCTTCTTCAGAAAGAAGCTTTCCACGGACAGGCTTGAAGACAGAACGGTTATTTTAGAAACAACCGGAAACGCTTCGGGATTTTTGCGAGAAAGTCGGAACTAACAAGGGTGCCCACATACTTTTGTTACAAAGAAGACTTTCCCCTCAAATCAAAGCAAACTAAGAGCTACTCGAAGTTTTCAAAAGAATAGGTATGCCCAGGTTTTTGCATTTCAGGATTTGAGTAGTGAAAGTTTTATTGCTAAAAATCCGTGGCAGGCCCGGTGAACCGAAATAATGAGGTGTTCACATACTTTTATTACGCGCTGTATAGTTATCCTACTTATATAATCGGCTAAGTGTGTCTGTTGGTGTGTATGTATATGTGTGTGTGTTTGTTTGTTTGTTTGTTTGTCTGACCGGAAATTCATAACTCCCGTCCCATTGTAGCTAAAGCATTCATATTTGAAGGAGAGATAGGCGGCACGATGGGAACAGCGATGGTAACTGATTGCAAGTGATAACAATCGATAGAAACAGATAAGGAGCCTAAAAAGGCAAAAGCCACAGGGTACGCAACTTCATTCGCATTATCGATGAAGCCTTGGCACTTTGGCAGGTGATGTAGGATGTGAAGGGACCGTTAGGGATTGGTAACAGGGATGATAACAACTGATAGTGGCTGATAACGAGCCATAGAAGGCGAGGGCCTATAAGTCTGTGACGCGCTTCCTGTTAATAGTGGAGTCTTGGTACTTCAATAGGTGATGTAAGATGTGACTGGATAGTAGGTACTCGATGACGGGATCGAGAACGGTTGGTGCCAGGCCAGGAGCTCATAAAACTGGTAAGGGCTAACGAAAATCCTGGAAAGCGTAGAGCCACTATAATAATGGCATTAATAGTGGAGTCTTGACAGTTTTGTGATCTGGAGTACGCCGGGATCGTAGGCGACCGATGATAGGGACTGATAAGAGCTGATAGCGGCGACTGATAAGATCACTTACTAACTGAATTCAACTCCTGTGGTATCTATGACGTATTTATGATTACGACTGTGGTATAGATTGCGACCGCTCTCCAGCAAGGTTTGTAACTCGGTGGAAGATCAAGTTCACTTTATGTTTTGATATCATTTACGACAAAGCTCATCCGACCGCCAATAATTCGGGAATCTCAACTAATGATGTACCCGTGGAGGAAAGAAGGTCCAGTGATAACGACATCTTATAATGGTGTTATTATCACTTGAGAACATTTGTGAGTACTACTCAATTCTTTGGTTGGCTATCAGTTAAACTTTTGATGGTTCATAATTTTTAAGATGAAGAGCAACTGATTGACACCTTTAATCGTAAGCGTAAGCATCGGCACATCCTAAATACCACTGACGCTGCCCTGCTTATGCCAGCTCCCCTCTTTTTGGGTCCTGTGTCAAAGTTGTGTAGAGTGTGCCGAATTTCGTGTTCAGAAAAGCATAATTCGTTCCAGAAATTGGGGTGGGGTGGCTGCCGATTACTAGGACTTGAAGAAGGAGGAAAGCCCCGCGTTAGCCGGGCGGTCCGACTGTCTATATATAAAGTGGTGACTTTGTGTGTCTGTTTGTATGCCCGTTTTTGCGTCCTTCCGAAAGTCTCGCAGGTGCAATGAAATTATGGAATGGAAAGTCAAGCGATACGGTTCATATTTAACCTGTAACAAGTCGTGGGTAAGCGGGAGTGGTACAATATATATCTATCATCATAACACATCTGATATGATAGTATGTGAGTATTAGGTGGTACTTCCCAGTTTGAACGATCTGATGCCGCTTTGTGGATTCTGGTATCGGCACTGACAGATGATCGTGAAATTGTTCAAATCCTACCCTCCTCTATTTCCCAGGGGTTAAATTGACCTGTATCCACTGAGGCAAGTTAAGGTTTCATAAGTTGATTGGATATTGATCAACTGATCGATACAAACGGCAACAATTGGGTTCCTACTTTATATTACTTTCTCGCCGAGCTAGCTTGACATTTCACAACTGCAGTCTTTAATCGGATGATCAACAAGCAAATAGAAAAGAAATTATCCAAATTCTGCAAGAATTCTCTGGTCGGGTATCTCCCTTCTATACTACTTACGTACATATATACATATGTATATGTTTTTGTTGGGTGTGTGTGTATGTGTGTGTTTGTCAGACCGTAGAAGGCCCAGAGCATTCAAAGTGGGTAGGAGCACAGGCGGCAGGATGGGAACACTCTTAGTGGGTGGCAGGACCGGACTCCGCCCAAAGGGCGAGGTTTGTGAGAAATAAGTGTTTGAGCGAAAATTCAGAACTCATGTCCCCGTGATCCTAGAGCACTCAGACTCGGTAGGAGTACGGGCGGCAAGATAGGAACACTAATGGTGGGTGGCAGGACCGGACTCCGGCCACAATGGACGGGGTTTGTGCAAAAACTCACATCTCCTGTCCCCGTGATCCTGGAGCACTCAAACTCGGTAGGAGTACGTGTGTGGCAGGACCAGACTCCGCCCTAATGGGCGGGGTTTGTGCAAAAACTCACAACTCCTGTCCCGTGATCCTGGAGCACTCAAACTCGGTAGGAGTACGTGCGGCAGGATAGGAACACTAATGATGGGTGGCAGGACCACACTCCGCCCGCAATGAGCGGAGTTTGAGCGAAAATTCATAACTACTGTCCCCGTGGACCTGGAACGTTCGAATTTGGTAGGAGTTATGGGAACAGGATGGGAACGCTCACTGTAGGTAGCAGGACCAGACCCCGCCTATGGGGGGCGGGGCTTGCGCGAAAATTGACAATTTGGCCATAGGGCGTCCAAAGTATTGCAACTGCACGAAAATCTCACGGAGGTACGCTTCCTTGGCTCATCTATCCTTTTTTTCTCTGGATAATCGCCTTTGTGATATTATACGAACAGTCTTACCGGACACAGCGAAGATGGCTTACAGAAGAAATCGCTCCCATTTCGGAGCCAATTCTGAGAGTGTAGAGCTTTCAAGGAAAAAGGAGAATCCGAAGAGTTATTTACGCATAGCAAATTTCTTAGAGGAAGGAGGACCGCCCGGCGAAGCCGGGCGTCACCATGAGAAGGAGGGAAGCCCGGCGTTAGCCGGGCGGCCCGACTGGTAATAAAAATGGGTCTCATTCAACGAAACTGAGGGGGCCTCCAATACGGCAGCGTTGGGTAGGACCGCTCGGAAGAAGCTGCTAAGATCTTAAGGGCATCATAGGCTGCTTAAAAATAGGAGAACTAACTGTAGGATGGCGATGTACTTTCAATGCACGAACGCTTGCATCGGAAGCGTGCGTCGATGATCTAATGATGCCACTCAGGGTAATCAAGTACGACGTTATCGGGCTGACCGAATAGACGAAAAGAAGAGTCACTGCCTGTTGCACGCCATTTTCAAAACAGAATTCGAACTGTTTCTTGGAACATGCGACAGCAGAAGCGTCGGCTGTGTAGGTGCTCTCGTTAACACGCACTTGGCCATAAACGTCGATTCGTACGAAAGCTTGCCAACCCGTTTTGAACGTTTGCGATTAAGAAGATGTGGCTAACCCAGCTTTAACAATCTTTGTTATCTATGCACCAACATTGAGCTACGAAAAAGAAAAGAGCAGGAAGCTTCCATATTCATCTGGAGAGACTTTACGGAGAGGACCATACCTTCTTCAGGAGCATCATCCTTGATTTCAACGCCAGACGATTGGCCCCAGAAGAACGGCCGAGGAGCCCCATATCGGAATTCACGGAATGGGGTGGAATGAGAAGGGCGGAAGACTGTCCTTGTTTATTATGTCGACCATGATAACTGTTTATCCATGATAACTCGGTTTCAGAAGCCGTTTCATTTGCGATGGACATGGGAGTCACCTAGTGGGCAGTTAAGTAATGAAATAGGTCACATCAACTTCAATCGGAAGTTTTACCTGATTGACGTCGCTGTTGCTGTGAGGTTTTACACGGTGTCGGTCCATAGTCTCCTCTGCGCTAGATTCTTTTTTTTTTTAGTGCGTAGAGAGAGCACTGCGAAGTTTAGGGAACAAAGACCAATGATCCTCATCAAGTGGAACCACTTTGCTTCTGCAAGTTTCTGGGAATATCCCGTTATCGAGAGAATCGATGGAGAATACAACCAGCTTGCCGAAGATCATCATATAGTGCTAGGAGAGCAGCGAGTTTACTAGTAGTCAAGGGACGTCTCTCTTAAAGTCGCAGTTCACGATAAAAATGGTTTCTTACATTCCCCCGCAAGATGAGTTTGAGGGTCCAATACCACATACCATATCTGGCACTATTAGGACGGAAAACGGCCTCGTTAGGGAATATAAATGCTCAAAGATTGGCCCGTGTGCATCCTCGGACGAGCTTCACCGGCATTATAAAGGCTGCATCGATCACAAGGAAACCCATGTAGAAAGTTCGAACAACTTTTCATGACCCATAGCAATAGTGAAAGACAGTTTTGTACAGTCTTGGCTTGATGTAGTCAGCTCTCTACGCAATAACAACGAGTCAGCTCTCTACGCAATAACAACGACGGAAATCTCGTCCGAATACCCTTTCCATGTCATAGCAATCTCGTCCAACCCCTGTTTTCTCTACTTTTGAGGGTCATATTTTGCTCGAAATCGGCGAATTCTCTCGCTTTCTTCACTACCGATGAACTGTTCCCAATCTATACTTCCGCTTTTCGAATAAAAACAGGTACCTCAAAATTATCGTGAACAGTGCATTTGAGTTGATCCGATAGCGTGAAATCGCGCGATTCACGAGCAGTCATCAACAAAGACCGAACTTGCGAAACAATGCAGAGAAGCGCTAAAGGAAGAGAAAGAAAAGAAAAGAAAAAGAAAAATAGCAGTAATTCGCTGAAACCCCTGATATAGGGAAATACATTCGCGAAGCCCTGTAGAACTTCGCTAATTACGAGACAAAAATAACTTTCCTTCCTCGTCCAAATCGAACAGTTACTGCATCTCGGAGGGGGCAATGAAGGAGGTCATATACGACTTCTACTTGGATCTCTACGGCAGCCACGTCTACCTGCCTGCCTACCGTCTTGGCAAGTCTGTTATGTCGCTGCTCCAGTTCTCCCGTACAAAATTCTACATGCCTTCGCGAAGAATTGTACGGCGCTCAGTCCCGATAGGATCAAGCCAAAACATCTAACTCCACCAGTTGTTGTCGGCACTCTGGCCACCTGTCGGAATGCAATGTGCCCACTTCGTGGAATACTAGCAGGACTGTGTTGCTCTATAAGGAGGAAGATGCAGATGGTATTGGCAATTATCGCCTAATCTGCCTGCTGTCGTGATCTACAAGCTATTCGCACGCGTCATCCGCAACAGAATTGGCAGAATATTAATCAGCCGTGCGAGCAAACGGGATTTCGGAGAGGGTTAAATGCGATCGATCATATTCACATCGTGACAAGACTCACTGAAGTATCGCGGGAAAGCAAAATGCTGTTGTCTTACGTTCATCGATTTGAAGAAAGCCTTCGATACCGTCGAGACAGAAGCGGTAATCGAAATCTTGGGCAACCAGAGTTCCTCCTTAATATATAAGTATGCTTCGTGACTACGTGACGGGAACTTCACAAATAGGATTTCATCATTCTACAAAGAAATCATTGTCAGTGAGAAGCAAGGGTTATGGCAGAAATATACCATCTTTACCAACCTGTCAAAGCTCAGGTGTCGGAAACATCACGCGTCTTTAGAAATCGGACAACTTCAGGGTAAAAGTTGGCGGCCGCCTCTTCCATCATCTCCGCTTCGTATTGGACTTTGTGCTTCATATCCAACATCAAACGAGCGGAGCGGATGCTGATTGAGGTTGGCAGCGCGTGTTGGAAAGTTGCCTCAGAACTGAGTAGGGAGGCGTGAGTAGCATTTATGAATACCGAGGATTCTCTGAGGAAAGCAAAGAACATCCTGCTTCGCGCTCACCTTCTCAACACCGCAATCCCTATTGCTCTGACGCACGCATCATAGACTTAGACTCCACAGAAGCAGGATGAGCATGCAGTTAGCCTCACTCAACGCGCTGTGGAAAGGACGATGCTCGAAATTTCCTCCACGCAAGTACAAACGAGGATGCGTAATTCCGAGCTCTGTCAACAAACGAGGATCAGGGACGCCGTCGCATGTGCTGAGGAATCGAAAGTCATTCGAATCTGACACGTTGCAATGATGATCGTTAGACTAGGACTGGTTAAACGAGCATCAGGACTGCCGCCAGTGCGATGACGACGAGACTACTTCCAAAAGCTCTGACCGAAGGGAACGTTATGAATTACTTATTGTTCATATGGCAAGTTGCTACAAATTCTGATGTTGGCGAAAAGGTATTTGTTGCACTCCCCATTATACAGCCTGTTGGTGAAAAAATGCCTTTCACATGAATTTCCTCTTACATCATTTCAATTTTTACTTGGGTCGTGATTCGGTGTTCGGTGACTGTAGAGAACTGTCTGCCGAACATACAGTAACATTTGTACGACCGTTGACTCAAAGCATTTAATCAGGTGCTTCGTACTGCGGAAATGTTCCGAGCAAACTTTGAACACATTAATGAAGTTGTGCCGCATTTCAACGCTACGCGGAAAGTAAATTTGGGTGAGTGGTGTTTGTTTCAAAGTGGTTTCTATAATATTAACTCCTTTACTGATCCCCTTGCTTTTGCAAATAATTCCTAAAGTCTGCAGCAAATTACTCATTGGTTCAAAAGAACAAAACGCATGAGGAGTTCAACTTACGCAAGCAATGTATAATTTGATGGGCGCACATCGTTCACTGTAACTCGGTTGACACGCTCAACTTCCAAAACCGATGTATTACGTCTCATAGTTAGTTTCTTGGCTTGAGAGGTGTCGGTATGCTGCTCTTGACTTGATCGTTGAACGCAAAAGATGGCGTCTTAGTAATGTTCCTGTGTGTTATAATAACGACTAGCAAAAATATCAATAGCGAGATTAACACGCTGACCAAGGTGGCCAGGCGTTGCCAGTCCGACTTCTCACACTTTGTTGCCTTGGCGCTGGGTAGTCACCATCTTCCGTGGCGGTCTAAACTTGCCAGATACTCTGCGAGACAGACAACATGTGTCTAATGTCTTATCCTGACTTCATTTTATTTTGCTTACTTTCTTCGCTTTGCACCGTTAATGTGCACAGCAACCAACCTTATTGAGAAGCAAATATACCGAAGAGCTGAAGGAGCACAGTAGCTAGAGTAGAGGACCCAGAAACAGTGACACAAGTTGCTATCCTAGCGTGTTGCGTTTTGCGCTCCTGTTTCTGCATCTTTAGCTGCGATTTTTATTCAACTATTCGAAATATTCGTCTTTCGAACTGTTGATCGTTAAAGGAAGAGGTTTATCAAGCGAACTCTTTTGTAGTTGGATTAAGAACAACGCCTTGCTTTCGGATGGATTGTTGCTAATGTCCGTGAGTTTATATCAGTAAAATTTGCGAATGTTTAGAGTTTCAGTGGTGCTGCACACTCGTGCAAAGTCGAACGACTTTTCTTCAGAAGTTCTGAATCGGCGAGCTGCCCTGATAAGAGCATTCTTCAGTGACTCAAGAAGGTAGGCTTTTGAAGGTGTTAGTTATGGCAAAATAGGAATGTTTCTCTAAAAATGGTTGATTGAGAGAAGTCATCTGCGAATATAAGGGTAATTCGGCATGGCTTGCCTGATTCTCCTCGTTTCAAGAATGGCCTTGGGGACTCGATTTATCTGTGCCTTCTACATCTTTTTTGGGCTACAAAACTGCTCAAGAAGGAACAAGTGCAGCGCGCTCAGAGGAATAGTTCAATTAATAGTTGGAGTATCTACTTCCAGACAAATAGAAGTGATTGTGAGGAACAGTGCGGAGATAGCGAACAAAGCATGGAAATTAACGCATTCAGGGTGATACGAGATCCCACAAAGTAGTAGAATTAGGGGCTGAACGAGTACTAACGATGAAATTTGCATAGAAGTAGTACTTGTACGAGCTGCCCTACTGTTTGTGTCGTTGCGTATAGCTAGCTGGCTATAATAAGGTGCCTGCGTGCAGTGTGTGGGTACGGTGCGAATGGGCAACCTCTACCTTTTACAATGCCATGAGCACTCGTCTACGTTAGGGTATGTACGTCGACGAAGCCGGTTTTGGCGCCCTTATTATGCCCTATCTTGAACGTTTCTCGATTAGATAGCTTCTGGTGGGCCATGAGGGTCACGGGTTTATTCTAAAGAGAAATATCACAATTATTTTTATTGTGAAATGTGCCTTTACGAGCACGGAATCGTGCAATGTCCCAACGCTTAGACCAAGAACCCAAATTTTTTAGCCTTCCTGGCATCTGGGAAATATTAAAGCTGAATCGTAAAATTATACGAATCCGCTATTCCGCTATCTGTTTGAGTGTACAGAGGAACGAGCCATGCTATGGATTCATTCAGAAGTTGTCGCCTTGCTCTTCCAGACCATAGCTGCAAAAGCCTGAAACTTCCCTTTATGGTTGTTCAATTGATCTGTTTCATGGACGAAAAAGGTCCTACGCAAAGTTTCCGATGAAAGACCTGGAACTGCGGCTCGGTTGTGATTTTTGATCTCTTGAATGAATTATTCTGAAAACTGTGCGCAACCTGTGTTTTGACAACCGCCTTCCAAGGCGGTTCAACACATTTCATATTGGTTTTTCTAAAGTAATGAAATATATAACATGGCTCTTTATTTGGTAATATATTGAGTGACACTCAGTGAAAATAGATCATTCATGAAGGCTTCCGTGACTATGGTTATAGTTACAATGATTCCTGTGGCTACCAGAATATCGGAGCCTGCTGCGATAAAATTATAGCAGCAAAGCATGATGAAGTAAACTTGTGTTCACTTCGCTCTCAGCTTTATCAGTGTGATGTTGTCTTTTACGTTGAAAGGGTGAAATTGGGACACCACACGAGTTGAGAGCATAAAAGCATTCAAATCTCTTGTAGCCTTGTGGTTATTGTCAAGATCCCATGAATGCTGTTCAATTTTTGTTGCTTGTTTTGCCAGGACTATTGCAGAATGGATCATAGCTGGCTTCCCTCCTTTTGATGATAGGGTTGTGATAATCGGCAAACAGCACGCTCCTTTGGAACAAATGATGCTTTTCGGAACACGAAATTAGATAGAGGAGCAATAAGGCATGCAAATGATATTCAAAATAAGCCTATCCTTTGATTAGAAGTCCCGATCTGTCGCTGTTCATCTTAAAAACAATGACTCATTGACGGTTCAACTGGAAGGCATCCAAAGCCTTGAGTGGTGCTCACAAATGTTGTCGAGTCATACTAATACCATTATCAAATGTCTCTATGAATGTAGCTCCTTTTCCCCACGGTTACACCATTACTAGCGGTCAGGTAATCTTTGCCAAGTATGATATCAAAGCAGGAAGATACTGCGATCCTTCACTAAATCGCAAACTTTGTTGGGTAGCGGTCATAAGCAGGAAGTGAACCAAATTTTATTTCCTTATAGTGGATCCCTATCACTGTGCTTACCTTTCTTGTCGAATGAAACATATCAAAGAGTCGAAGCTAGATCGTAAATAACAAAGGCGCTAGGATGTAATTGGTGATTGGATCTTGTTCTCTGAGCTTATTCTATCGTTGATCCCATCCTGCCCACTCTCCTCCTGTTGATTTCGATCTCCAGGTCCGCGGTCAATATATGTGGATTTTCGCTCATTCATTTATTTCGCGGGAATCCCGCCCACTGTGAGCGGAGTTTGGCCCCACTACCCACCATAAGTGTTCCGATACTGCCTCATATACTCCTGCCGAGTTTGAACGCCCTAAGGCCAAATTGACAATTTTGCGAAAATCCCGCCCCTGTGGACGCAGTCCGGTCCTGTCACCCACCATAAATGTTCCCATGCCTCCAATTATCCTGCTGATTTGAGACGCTCTAGGCCCAGGGGGACAGGAGGTATGAATTCCCGCTCAAGAACTTATTTCGCGCAAACCCCGCCTCGTGTGGGCGGAGTCCGATTCTGCCACCCACCATCGGTATTCCCATCCTGCCGTCTGTGCTGCTACCAAATTTGAACGTTCTAGGTCCAAGGGGACAGGAGTTATGAGTTTCCGTGCAAACAGACAGACAGACTGACAGACGCGATCGCTTTATCCTTACTGTATATAAACCACAAGTTTGGTGTGTCTAATTTTTAGTCTGTCTGTTTGTTTGTCCGTCACAAAATTCGGTATCGTCTGAAGAAGCGCCTGGAAAGATGGGGACAAGTTCGGGATAGGTGGAGCCTGAGACAAGATTAACAGAGCCCGTATGAGCTCTGCGGAGCCACGCCCACGGGGCGGGGCAAGTGCCGGAATGGGCGGTGCCGTGAACCAAATATCTTAGTTTTGCTTCAAAAAAGTCCAGACCTTGGGGAAAATGTTTTAAGGTGAGGATTGGGTCAACAAACCAGACGGAGGAAACTCACATGTTGTGGGCGGAGCTTTCTCAGAATGGGCGGTACTTTTCAAATGTATTCATAACTCGATTCAATTAAGGC